GGTAGTGCCCAGTCACAAGAACAAGGCATGTGGCCAGTCAGCATCAGATGTCAACCCCTCGATACCCAGGGGAGTGAACAGTGTATCACAAAACAGCTAGGAGAGATGATGATGACAGAATTGCCTTCATTTCGTTCGTGCTTCGTGTGTTTGTGCGAATATTATCTACAGTCTGCTCTAAGCAAATAAGCTCAGCTCTCTCAGCCTTTTCTCACAGGGAGAGATACTCCAGGGCGCTAATCATCTTCATAATCCTACACTGGACTCTCTCTAGTAGCTCCACGTTCCTCTTGCACTGGGGAGCCCAGAAGGGCACACAGTACTGCAGGTACCACCTCCGCAGAGCTGAGGAGAGGGGCCAGATCACCTCCCTTCACCTGCTGGCAACACTGTTTCTGGTACACCTCAGGCAAGGGCAGTTGGCCTACTTGGCCACATGGGCACATTGCTGCCTCATGGTTAACTTCTTGTCAGCCAGGACCCCCTGGTCCCTCTCCACAGAGCTTGCTTTTCAGCAGGTCAGACACTAACCTGTAGTGATGCATGGGGTTATTCCTCCCTAATTTCTCCCTGATTCCTCCCTATTTACCTCTCTAGATCTAGGTTCAGATGCTCTTCACCACTGTACCTCTGTATCTCAGGAAAATACTAAATTCTCTTCTTCGCTTGTCCTGTAAACTTCGCTTTTCCTGTAAAATAATCAAGCCAAATTTCATTCACAACCATATACTAGCTTTCAGTTTATGCTAAATTCAAGGGACTATGTTCTTCATTTGCCCAGATTAATAAACCCTAGCACTGACAACAGGCAAAGGAACTGGCATTTACTTGCATATGCTGTGAAATGGATTGAGGAGCCATCCAAACTAGACACATCCAAAAGGTACCTGGCATCCAATTCCAAAACCATTTATCATAAGATTTCAAACATGTACAGAATCACAGAATCACACGATAATTGAGGTTAGAAGAGACTGCTGTAGATCACCTCCCTGCTCAAGCAGGGACACCTAGAGCACGTGGCACAGGGTTGCACCCAGGTGGATTTTGAAGAACTCCAGAGAAGGAGACTCCACAACCTCTGGAGGAGGGCAGCCTGTTCCAGGGCTCTGTTACCCTCACAATCAAGAAGATTTTCCTCACATTTAGACAAAGTTCCTGTGATTCAGTTTGTGGCTGCTGCCTTGTCCTATCACTGGCCACCACTGAAAAGAGTCGCCCTCCTCCTCTTGACGTATACCTTTTAAGGTATTAATACACACTGATAAGATCCTGTTTTCTCTTCTCTACGTTGAACAAGCCCAGCTCTCTCTCAGCTTCTCCTCATAGGAGAGAGCCTCCAAAAGCACCCAGCTGCTGTTCAGAAACTGGCAGCCAGAGCAGGTTTCCTATGAGGATTTCTGAATTTCTGCCCTTCTCCTCTCCCCTTTTTCCCTGTGGCTGGAGGTATTTAGAATATGCTACCACATATTCCCTGGAATATTGTGTTCTTCACCAGGACCTGGACTGATCAGTACTGCCAAGCCTGCTGCAGCACAGCTGTGCTAATGTCCCCTGACAGAAATGTATAAGGATTATGCCAAGCAACTTCAGTCCCCAAAGAACTCCTAATACCTACAGGAATTTGTGGTTTCTGGAGAACACATTTTATAAATGCCCCAAATATTTAAAAGTTTGGCATATATGCAAAACTTTTGCTTTTAAGAGCAATGAAGTTCCAGGTTCAAAAATGAACCTATCTAATCTCTCACTTCCTTCCTTCTGTGAGACACTTTGTAAAATGTTGTTGCATACAGAAGTAGAAAGATAATTCCTCAGGACTCTTTAGGTCACAGCCAACCCCTTGAATTGCATTTGGAACTAGCTGGCAGCCTGCTCAGGTCAGAAAAATCCACGGGTGATTTCACTGAGAGATCCAGCTCGTGCACTGTAACTAACAGCCTGATAAAGCTATTTGCATGTTAACATCTCCTCATGCCTCATTTAAACTCTTTTTCCATTAATTCAAATTAAGTATACCTGCTTACCTTACAAGGTAACAGCTGAAAGTCCCAATGATGGAGACACAAGATACACAGAAAATGACCTCCTGGGGCTGGGAAGCGACCACACCAACGGCATAACATGGATCAAACCTGCAAGCAGCTAGTGAGGAACTGTACCAATCACAACGTGTAATCATTTTCAGAAGTCACATCAAGGATGGGGAAATGGGGAGAGAGAGTGGGAAGTGTAGATGATGGGGAAAAGAAGGCTAAGCAGAACAAGTTTAAGAGATACTGAAATGTGACTCTAATGGGCTGCAACAAAAAAACTAAACCAGATCCATCAGGATACAAGCTTTTCTCCAGAATGGTGACAGAGGAAGCCATCCAGGCTTAGCCATTTCCTTTTTTACCCAGAATTTCCAAACATTGAAATACATGTGCCTGAAGATTAAACAGAACAAATATGTTTTTAAGAGATAGTGTTTGTTATTCACTCTTTCAAATTAAACCCATCATTGATTGTAAGTATTAGTCTCTGGGTTTTCACATGAAAATGCTCATCATTAGTGTGTGCATTACCATACAGGCATTCTGTCCTGGGTCACAGACTCTGTGGGGCTTCAAGCTATACAAACACAAAGGAAAAAAAGAGAGAAGTTCAAGTCTCTAACAACCTGCAGTTTAGACTTAGTGAAAACACAAAGCAATCAGAAAAATAAAATGAGTCAGTACTGGTTAATGATTCAGAGGAGTCAGAGGACACTGGTATTTTAACTGTTCTCCTGCTTTTAGCAGTTCTGTAGCAAAGTCTTTTAAGGAAGGATTTGGAAAGTAGGAAAACAAGAGTCCATTTATGTTAATGTAATATTCCCGCCCCCAATGTAAACACGGAAGGAAGCTAGGAGGTGCTTTTTGCATTTTCTGCAGAAGCAAAACAGGTTGGCACATCGGCCTTAGACTGGGAAATCTACTTCAACACTTAATGAAAACGGTTAGGGGGATGGGACCGTGCCACTGGCTTTGAAATCAAGTACAAACATCTTCTAAGTATTTTGCATAAAGAGGGAGAAATCAGCAGCAATCCACAGAAAGTAGCTGGTGGTGACATGGTCAAAGTAGCAAGATAGGAAAATATCTTACAGTTTTATTTTGGACAGATTGCAGATACAAAAGACTGTACTAGCTAATGCCAAAGAAAAAGACGATGCAGTAATTCAGACTCCAGGTAGGGCAGTCAGGGATGGATGTTTTGTCTGTATGGATGGATTCACTCATGGTACCTTCAATCTATTATGCTGAGTCAGCAAACCTAAGATTTAGCTGGCATATCAGGTCATGGAAAAGTCAGCGAGTGCTCAAGTTACAGGGCTGACTGACTGGGAAGCTGGAGGTTTTATCCCCAGTGAGTGAAAGAGGAGGGAGGCAGCACAATAGCAGAGCTCGAGATAGTTTGGGCACAAGGAGGCAGTTCTGGGTCGCAGAGCCACTTCTGGGATTCGCCAACAAAGAGAAAGGAGTGGAATTTGTGTCCACAGACCATAAGAGAGGGGAAGCACCCAAGTCCTGAAAGACTGCCTCATATTTTAAAATGAAAATAACTGTGGTAACTTGTGAAAACACCAGTTTGTTTATTTTACAGATAACAAATGCATTGCCTGGCCATTACTGCTGCAGATTACCCTGGAGGAGATTCTGCCTCACACAAAACCCAGAGTGACAGAAATAGCTGTGTTGCATATTCCACACATTTTGCTCCCAGGAAAAGCCTGCAGTGCAGGATGTGACCTGGCTACCAGCACTAAGCTCATGGGAAACAGGCAGCTATCACAGTTATAGGGACAGTGGCAATGCCACAGTCTGTGGTTGACAGGAGAGCAGAAATGAAGCTGCTTTTACTATGGGTTTCCTCCTGAAGTCTGATGGAATCCAAAGTGGCATGATGGCTGTATTTCAGAAAAACGTTTTAAAGGAGCAGAATTACATAATTACCAAATCCTGCCAAGAGGAAAGACATAGGAACAGAACAATGGGGAGTACGTGAAAACAAGAACAACTGCATTTTCTTTAAGCGGTTGTTAGTCGTTATACCAAAAATGCTTCACTCTCCACAAAACATTTTGTAGTGTGAAATTAAAACATCCAAATCACAAACATTTGGGTATCTTCCTTTAACAGATTGTCATCACATGTAAACAACACTGGAAACACATGCACTGAGTTCAAACCAAAAGCCTGGAAAAGGGAGAAAAAAAACTTTAGCCATGAAAAAGCAAATATTTTCACAGTATATACTGCCCTCCTGTGTACAGCTGCATTATTACCATTAACAAGCAGTGGAAAGCGTTGTCCACAGATCATGAGCAGTCATTTCTTCAAATTACAGCTTATGTTGAACTACATGAGTTCCATGCACTCAGCTTGAAATACTTACCTGTTCAACAAGAATTTCCATGCTGGAACTGTTCTTGATACCTTCCTTTGATGATTCGGAATTTTAGAAAAATGAACTTTAACCAAATTAAAAAGAAAAAAAAAAAGGCTCTGAGAAATAAATCTGTTAATAGTGGCAAGCTGTGTGCTGCAGACACTGAACTACTGTACAATCATTTTTCAATTTAATAAATGCTTTGCTCATCACCAAATTCTTCTTCACTTTTTATTTTAGTTTTCTTTTTTAAGGACAAGAGAACCTCAAACATCCTTAAGCAGTGGCTAAACCCATGGTCAAGGACTCACTTAGCAGTCAATCTCTGTTCCCTATTATAAGTCACAACATTTGTACTTCTAAAACCTGGATATTAACCTGAATTATTTTCTTGAGACTGTACCAAAATTGATTTAAAAATAATATTTATCCACCTTCATAGAATGATTTTTTTCTAAATTTTCAGATGAACTTGGTATGTGTTTGCAAAAATGCAACATACTCTAAACGCTAAGCAATAAAAACTTCAGTAGCTACGAAGTCAGTTGCCAAATTCCCATGTTTCCACTGCACACTCAAAACCAGCATTATTGCTGAAATAGATTCTTTATTTCTGAAACATTCCAAAACAGCAGTATACACAGTTGTAATCAAATATTAAGTCATATACCATTATAAGAAAGCATTGATTAGTGCAATTGGATTTTGTAAAAGATCTATCAAAAAGATTTATTCACATTAAAACTCATTTATCTTCCATAAGCAACTGTTAATAAAACATTAAAATTTTATTCTTGATAATAAAGTATTGAAAACCAACTGTGGTTTTAGAGATCACTGTATCTTTGTAAGTGCAATGTGACTGATGCTGCCTTTTTAAATACAAAACACTATGACAATAAATTAACAATTGAACAAACAGTGAAAGAAAACAAAACCATGCTGACACAGCTGTATGGCAATTTCCAGTGAATGCTACTGTTTTTTTGTGCTTCTGCAACATAAATATACTGCTTTGTATTGCCAATGGTATATTTTTGTAAGATATGTCCCTAGTGCTAAAAAAGTACATTACCCCAAAAATATTATTTATGGCACAGAAAAGTTAAATTATCTCTCTGTTTTCAAGATTCAGACAAGTTTAAATGAAAGTAAGTATACAAAATAAAATGTATTGGAAACACTAACAAAAAAAAAAAAAAAATTCAAGCACATTACATAGTCCCCCCCAGGTCAAGATAAAATGCATGATTCTTTTACACTGAAACATTATCTTATATTTTCAGTATGACAAAGCTGCTCAAAATAGGATTATCTCCTAGTGTTGTTTCAAATTAAGTATTTTGGTACTTTGCACACATGTAATATTCCCTCTAATTTCTAAATGCTAATGCTGCCATTGTTAGGCTGATAACAACACAGCTGTCCAGGTAACTGATTAAGTGCAATATTTAGTATTTAATAAAATGTTGATATTCTAAAAAATGACTTTGCATTATGGATGTTTAAATATTAAAATCTCAGGGGAAACAATAGCATATGACCCTTCCTTCCCAAATCGTTGTTACCCAGCCAGCTGGGTAATGAAATCCACATTATTTTTCTTCCACTGCTCTCGGGGTTCTTCATCAATAGCAGCCATCTCTCCAGTTCCCATCCCGCATCGCGCTAAGTGACGAAAGAGGTTTGGGAGGCTGCAGAAAACTGTATTAAAAAGACACAAAAAGAGAAAATAAGTCGTATTTTGTGTAAAAGATATATCCTCCAGGACCCACCACCAAAATCTTCATGTTCCTGGGCTGCATCTGTCCCTTGTAAATAAGGATTAATTAAAAAAAATATTTGTTGACCATCTTCCAAACTTCCAGGTACTGCCGAGATAACTATTTCTAATCAAATCAAATTGAAGAAAAGAATAAAAATCTCTGTTGCGACATAACAGTCCACTCTCTGTTGGTGGCTAGACAGGCTACCTACAATTAGCCACTGCGTTTTAATTGCACTATTTATTGAAAATAAATGCTCCCAGTTCTGGGAAAATGCTTCTTACAAAACTCTTTCTCAAGCACCCTTCCAGTTCTTTCTCTTCTTCTCTTTGCCTTTAGCTATGATTGCTGCAAGTTACTGATGTTTCTCCTCCTTTCCAAAGGTCCTGTGCTGGAAGAAGACCAAGATGTGTTGCAAGGCAGATAGAGCCAGGAAGTTGAGAGAGGTAACCAGAACAAATTCTTGTCTCTCAGCTATTTTTATAGTTGCCGAGAGAGAGAGAAAAAAAAAAAAAGATTTTTAAAGGGTGGTTCAGTTTCAATTTAGGGTGGTTCTAACCAGGCTGCTTTTATGCAATTCCACTTTTATTTTACTTTACTTACCTTTATTACAAAACTAGCTACTTGAGGCATAAAGTGTGACTCACCTTTTATTTCAGAAAACATGGCCTACCTAAAACTGCTGATTTCATTTCTTTTTTTCTTTTTTTCTTTTTTTTTTTTTTTTCCCCTTTCCAGAGGAAAGAAGAGGAAGAAAGTATAATCATCAAACTTCCAAAAAAAAAAAAAAAACCAGAGAGGATGAAAAATAAAGAATAATTAAGTAAATTTAAAATAAATGTAAGAATATTGCTACTTATCCAAACCTGAACTTCTGTTACAGGGTAATGAAAACACTCAAAAGCTGAAAACTGTCAGTCCCTTCTGCATCCAACATCATGCTCCTAGGTAAGGAGGAAAAATAGGTTTCTAAGAAGCCAGGAGCGTGGAGGCGGAAAGGGAGGCCGGGAAGATCCATGGAAGTGGAAGAAGGGCCGCTCTCTGCCTTCCCCTCACCAACACGGAGCGGTGCTTCGCTCATACAGCCAAGGACAGAGGGACTGGCATCCCTTACAATCTCTGCTTTTGGATGCATGCAGCTCTCTGATGGCAAGGATGAAAGCAATTCATGTTTAGCCAAGACAGGTTATTTTGGCTATGACCATTTTATACTGCACTCTGATGGGCTTGATCTTGTGCTTCACATACTGAGGGCTGAAGGTATCCAGCTACCTCTTTATACAAGTAACTTAGCTGTCCAACAGTCTGGCAACAGGAATGAAGTTTTGCCCTGCATGTACCTGCCTTCCTGACTATCTGATTTACTTAAAAAAATATATATATACATATATATATGCACACACACATACATATATATTTTCCACTTATGACTAAAGACACTAACTTTCAGGCCACTGAAAGAAGCTAGACTCTTGACCTGATAATCTGAGATGCCATTCTTCGGAAATAACCACAGTGACAAAATCAGTGCTGAGGAAATGTGCCTCACATGGATGAATTTCTTCGAAGAAAAAAGTATGTATAAACTGAAACCACCTTTATTTTCCATATTAAAAAACAAAATGAAATCAGGATCTTAAAGAGCTCCAGGCTGACCTCCAGTCTGTCAGTACTTTGAGAGTGCAGCAAACATGGAATTCCCCTGGTGCAAACATAACCTATCTTCTAGGATCACTGATCTGGCTCTAGAGCAGTATATAGAGCAGGTGAGAACACAGGAGCCTGGATTTTCTGCACTAAAGACAGCTTTGTTACTCATCTGAATCAACTTCTAATAAAACCAATGTAGAGAGTACCATATTTCACCGTCTGAAAACTCTCACTTATGTTTTTCTTTAACACTGTGTGCTGTATGAAAAGTTAAAAAATAGCAAGAGACTGGTCTTCATAGCCCAGAAAGTCTCTGTCTTTCTCCTACATTGCTATGAAAGATTTAAGAGCTCTGCAGAAGAGCATGAAGATGAGGAGAGAAAAAAAAAAAAGAAAAACCTGTACTATAAAGAACTCTCACAGAGATGGTTCCAGCAGAGAGCAAAGAAGGTTATAATAGAAATCTCATGGTACAGTGTTCATCAGAAAAGCAACCTGACAGCTCTTTATCAAAGTTTCACCACAGTTGGTCAAAATCTGTTGTCAGTTACATTGGTGTAATCCCTGAGTAACTCAACCAAAGAGGTAAGGTGAGCAATTGAAGTTTTTCTGGATCTAGCCAGTGCGAAGCAAGAAAAAGAAGAAAAAATGGTGAGAACTAGTGACAGCTCACCCCAAAGGGAAGCAAGGGGTCACACAGTGGGTCATCACAGTGGGAGGGGTGGATGGAAAGGGAAGCAAGGTTTGGAAGATCTGGACCTAAGCTGAAAGATATTTTTTTTTTTTGAGAAATTTCATCAGTACTGATCATATGAATACACAGCTAAGAATTTATTTCATCTCCCAAGTGTGATTACGTGATTTAATCATAGTCTGTTTCCTCAAGCTTATTTTACTGCTTACAGTAAAAATAATTTGGAGAGTAAATTTTCTTGCAAAAAAGAAAAAATGTACTTATTTAACAGCATAGCTCACTGCAACTACATGATAACTCAGGATTTCCTATTTGCTTATTGTTCCCCAGACGGAACTTAAAAGACATGACTTGCAACCCAAGACCTTGCTATCTTCCCTCAAGATCCTGCAATTTCAAAATGTGCATTTTTACAGCCTACAGCCTTTCTCGACAATGGGGAGGCAACTCTCTGTTTGTGTAGTCTCAAAAAACACTCATCCTGTTACCCTGAAATAACAGCGGGCACAAGTGTTGAAAAATATGAGTCACATATAGAAATGATGTGAGATTTTCATCTGCTTTCATTTCTTACTAATGGGTGGTAATCAGTTCTAATTAGATTTAAGTAAGATTTTATCAAGTATCACAGTACATTAGCAATTATCAGCGGGCACTGCCTATTACTGTTTGTGGAGAGAAATCTCCACCTGCTCAGTGACTTAGCATTAGGAGTTGGAAATATTTCTCCTCTGTAGTCTGGTTTCACACCTAAGAGAGAAAGAAAAGACGTTTCCCAAGCCAAAAGCAGCCCCCCAAGACAGGAAGCCTGTTTAACTCTTACCTTCGAACTGGCTGTGCAATTTTACTTCTGGGTATGCCACTGCCGTTGATGGCCAGCGATGGTCGTGGAAGAGCACTGCGCCCTAAAATCCCTTGGCTGGCAGCTTTGTTTGGCATTGGGATTCCAGTGTTGGAGTATAACTGTGAGTTGTTGGACACCGGAATACTGCTAGTGCCTTGCACCGTTGGGCTTACGTAGGCAGTGGCTTTGAGGGGCTGTCTAACGGACACCGGAAAATGTCCCACGCTGTGCACTCGGTGTTGAAGCTGTCCTGGCGAGGGAACTGCAGGGAGTCGTAGGAAAGGAAGAAGGAAGGTCAGTGTGCAACAGGTGAGGCCGTGTGGTTCACTGCTAGACAGGTCTGAGCAGACATATTCATTACACAATTTTCTTGCTAACTCTAAGTATTAAAATAATCATTGGATCTAATACTGCATCCAGTAACACTGCATTCAAAAATAAAATCCTGTCCCTTATTCTTCCTTCTTTCTCCTTTTAAAGAAGCTTCATTACAGGTAAATTGATTCTATCTATTTCCATCTAGCCAGTTTCATTCCAGTTAGATCTTTAAATGGGAGAAATTGCTGAAGATATAAATTAATTACTGTTAGGTCACTTAGGTGTTTGTAAAGTTGTTTGAAGTAACTACTACTTGTTTAATGAACATTATATTAAAGCACTATAAAATAGAACAGACGTCTAAGCTTTATACGTTTAAAAAAAAAAGACTATAAAAAGGTCCTGAGTAACTATTCCGATGTAAACTATCGTTTTAAAATCAAAATTACCAGTTCTAAAAGCATTATATATAGATTCTCTACACAATCCTGCCCTCTGGTGTACATCAGACGTGCATCTTTTTCAGAGTCCACATACGAAAAGCTAACTGTCAAAAACCTCAAGCACTTTCACTAACTAGCACACACAGGCCTGTTCTGTTGCAGGTCTTGAAAAGAGGCATCTTAAATCCATTCAAAGACACAGGAGACAAAACAGATGTGTGGTTCCCTGAAATCACTCTGGCAAGCCATTGCTACAGAATTCTTAACATTATCATATCATGTTGGGGCCTTAGTAAGAATATATAGGAAAGTGGAGTTTGTGGGAACTGGACTGATGCCTAGCAGCCAAGCACCTGGAGGAGAACCAATCAGCTGGGAGCCTGTAGCCAATGAGTGCTGCTCCTCAGCGCATGCCCACCTGCACCGGTATAAAGCCCTGCTACAGACAACAGCAGAGGGGAGTTGACCTTACTTTGTGTGGAGGTGTTGGTTGCTCTGGCTTGTGGAGAGGGCCCTGGCACTTGGTGCGAGAGTGACCCTCGACATCTGGTGACCCCGACGTGATAGTGCGAGAACGCGAGGGATCTTACTGGAGAAAAGCGGATTGTGACCACGACCTGGTGAGTCAGAATGGGAATTGGCGCATCTAGAGTGAAAGTTGCTGCAACAGCAATGGAACATGATACTGTTGAACGCTTCGTAAGGCTTGCTCAAAAAACTAAGATTGAGGTCTCGAAAACCGAGCTAACTGATTTATTACTATTTTGTAAGAAGAGAAAAATCATAGAAGAAGCTTCCAAAAAAAAAAAAAAAACCACTATAGGCACTCGTAAGGAATGGTTCCCATAAATATGCTTATGTGTGTACCTAAGTGTCTACGTTTGTGTGTAAGGAGTGCCTATGTTTAAGAAAATCACATTTTATGTATATATGTACATATGCATATCCACACACAAATACACAGATGAAGAAAAATATTTTTAAAGCATCAGATAAAATTAAACCCTCAGCAGACTACCATGCAGGGGATCTGGACAGGTATTTCCACGCCCCTAGTACGCTTAGGCAAATAAGTAAATAAATAAAATGAACCCAGCAGAAAACATATATGACCCAAAAGAATACAATTAAGTCATTTTGAAGCCATTTGTAAATTCTGCCCAGATTCAAAAGAAAACACCCACAGGAAAAGGTATTGCTACTTTCTCCTCCCTAACATACCTACAATTCTTTCTTTTGCTTGGGACAAATGAAAGCCACTCTTTTCCTTTCCTTACCCGCTAGGCTACTTCAACCATCGTGTTACAAAAGTCTCGGCTCTTCATCTGTCTCATTCTGTCTACACGGAGGATTCAACATTCACTTGAACGATACTTAATATTCCCCCCTAGTCCAGAAGCCACCTTATTAATCAATTACAGAGCCATTTTCACTCCCCCACTCAACAGGTACGTTACACTTGAAGATTTAATTCTCTGCTTAACATTTGCTTAGAACAAAGTGGCTCCGTTTTAACACGAAAGAGGTCCTGTATTTTAAGATGATATCTATGTAGTGCACTTTAAAAACAGCACTGAGCAAACTATTTATAAAGCAACATTTTAAAATCCAACACCAAAGCTAAAAAAATGTAAGCTTATATGAATTAATTGTATCGCTGATGCTTCTATGCCAATAATTATTAAGTCTGATACAAGATGAATAGGTAGGGAAATAAAAGAAGGTAATGAAACTTAGTACAGTGTTAACAAGATTGGTCAGAATTTGCTTTCCAAAGTAAAAACTTTGAAAATCTTGAGCTAGATTAAAATGTAGTGCAAAAAGGAAAAAGGAAAAAAAAAA